AATAGGGCTGAAAAAGTTTATATGCTATGCAATTCACTGAAAACAATAAGGAAGGAAGGGGGGAAGAGTGATCGATACGATTTTATACAGCAAACTAATATCCGAAATATGAAATCAATTTCGCACTGGTCAATGCGGGAAAAGATGGGACAGCGTTTAAATGGATTGGCTAGGTTGCCTTAAGCCGCCACGGTATGTTGACTTAGGTGTCAATAATGTTGCACTTGTAAATTCACGAACTATTATGACCGTAATCAGAAAATCAATTGCCGGATCTGGAATATTCGTACATCGCGTACAAGTTGCAATTTTGTTTTCACCGGACGCAATGATATCTATAGATTTTAACGACGATAACTGTGGAGGCTAAGGTTGAAGAATTGTTTTCTAAATTAGCTAAGAAAAAAAAAATATTCGAAAGGCGCTGTTTTTTTGTTTTATACGTATACCAGTTGTGAGTGTTGCATGCCCTCAACATAACGGCAGCTCTTCTAGCGAAAATAACTGTCGATCTTCCTACTTTTTTGTTTAGGCATTATCGTGGCGGTTTTACAACGACGAATATCCATCTTTCGAATTTCCCTTTTTGGAGGAATGCTCAACTCGATTGGGTTTATAGCCTCTAGATTTGCACCAGACATGACGTGGATGAATGTAACGCTTGGGGCTATTCACGGTGAGTCCTTCTAAGCAATGGCTCAGTTGTTTTCTTCCATCATCATTAAGTTCTTCATAAACGATGTTTTGTTGTTGTTTTACGACTTCCACAACTAACTTCCACAACTTTATGTTGATCAAATATGCAAACGGGTCATGCAAAGCATCTTTCCACTATAGAGAGCCTTAAGAAACTCATCACCTCAAGTAAAAACAACTGCACATACAAGTTGAACTCTACCCGTTATGGATTATGACAGCCCACTGTGGGGCCCCTAAAACGAAAATTTCAGATATTACAAAACAAGGCACTTTGAGTTATTTATAACGACTACAGATCAACTCAGTCTATCACTGAATTGTAAAATAGAGTAGTTTTTCTCACTTGAAAAGCTCACATGACAATAAATCGGGTCGAACTTCTGCTGGAGGTCTTCTGACAGAAGCCTAGGAAGACTGCGCAAGTCGGCCCCCTGTGGGTGCGGCGAGGGCAACCCATGTGGAATGCCCAAGTAGGCTCCCTGTTGGTCCCACGAAAGAAGCCGAGGTGGGTTGCCTAACTAGGCCCGCTGCGGGTCCCACGAAGGAAGCCCGGTGGGCAGCCGGGGTCGGGCCGACTTGGGCTCAAGTTGCAAAAGCGACATGGGACCCAGGTGGGCTGCCTACGTGGGACCACCGCAGGCCTTTTGGAGCCTAGTATGTGCTACTTGGGGTATAAAAATAATTATAACAAAAGAGGTTTTAATATAAAGAAAGAGAAATTTCTGAGCTGTATAAGACCTTTTTTAAAGGAAAATATTGCCTTTTTTTATTAGAATTTGACTTGTGTTTCAGTCCGACATAAGTTTTTTTTTTTTTAACTGGAGAATTTGTTTGCTTTGCGTAACCTCAAATTCGAATAACTTAATTCATTTTTAAATAATGGTACTATCTATGGAAGAACTGGTGTTAGGTGTCTACAAACGTATGTATGGAGGCATCTGTCATTATTTCGGATTTTGAAGTTGACTTTCTTTTGTAGGTCTTGGAGTGGGACTCACCCTGCTCACCCTGAGCATCATCTTGACAATGCATTTTGACCGCTACAGGAGCGTAGCGTTGGGAATCAAGTATGCTGGATGGTCATGCTCTGGTATTTTGTTCCCGAATCTGCTGGCCTTCCTAGAGCAAGAGTATGGCTTCCGCGATACACTACTCATCTTTGGGGCAATATCCCTGAACATTCCAACCCTCACTCTTCTCTTAAAAGAAGCACCAGGGAAAAGCTTAATAGTCCAAAACAGAGATACCGCAGTGGCATCAGAGACTTCAAGTTGGAATTATGATCCTCATTCTATAGGGTTAGAACTAGCAGGAAGACGAGAAAGCGACAGCTCTCAGTGTTCAGGAAGAGGAACGAAAATACTGGAGTTAATGCGGAAGCCAATGTTTTTTGTAATCAATACTGCTACCATAGCGGCAGACATCACGACCTTTGTGAATTCATCGGTCCTGGTTGATTACGCCGTGGACAAAGGTTCAGCTCTAGCGAAAGCTGAATCACTCATCATATACGGATCTATTAGTGAACTAGTTGGCCGAATAATTATTCCACTGCTAGCCGACAAACTGCTGCTTCGACGTTGCACCGTCGTCATGGCTAACTTTTTTATATTGGGCATTTCCATGGTGCTAATGCCGTACGCTACACTCTACGTAGAAATCATACTACTGTCCTTGTGCATCTCTCTGTCCGTTGGATTTCTTGTCTCTGTGGAGCCCGTTCTGATGGCTGACTATCTCGGAGTGGAATCCATCTCGGCCTGTTTTGGATGCTCGGGGGTGCTCTTAATACCTATGCTCTTCGTCACACCGACACTCATAGGTATGTGTAACGCACAGAGTAATTTACAAGAAATTGTTTTGTGTCTGCTTCAGTTATTTGAGGAAGTGGATTTCACATACCCGATATCTCTGTTTTATGTATTTCAAAACATTCTTAACTTACTCTAAATGTGATCACTCAAGGTATTCTTTACACGCACGATAAATGGGTTTACCTAAGGCGAACGTTTTTACACCAGGCAAAGGGACCTTTTTTGTTTCATTTCACTAAACAAGATGGCGACCATGTAATGTTTTATTTAATTTCTCTATGGGTTACGTAAGATTTATAAAGTAAAGCTGACACCACGCTAATACGGCGGCCGAGGAGGGAAGTAAGTATAAAAGAGGCTTCGGCGATATTATTTTTTTACCGGAAAGCTGGAGCCGTTTGGAAAATTCTGTGTAATGAACCGTCTAGCATAGTCGATCGATCTCTAAATTTGATTATTGTGCTTAAATTGGGCAAAAATTGACATAACACGTCTTTATTTTTTTTTAACGCATGGTGATTTTTGCAGGACATGCCAACTGTTATATGTCAAAGGCGTCATGACGTCGTTGTCGGCATCTCCGAACCAGCTTAGAGGTCACCAGGAGCCAACATTACCTGATTACCTCAGTTGTGGAACTGCCATGGAGCGGGGAGGAAAGTGCCCCCCCTCCCCTCCCTCCCTCCCTCACCCCCCCCCCCCCCCCCCCCACCCTCACTCACTTCAGTATGCCTCCGGTCGTTTGAAGCACCATCTAGATTTTCGTTGCAAAACTGTGTGATTCAAAGACTAGAGTACGGTGAAACGCCACCTAGACGCCGAGCTTAGAAACGTTCGTATTCCGTAGAGTACTCTGCAATTACCATCACAGCCGTCCGGCGCGTCGAACGCCGGGAGGCGAGCCGTGGTGAGAGGGGGGGGGGGGGGGGGGGGGGGGGTTCTGCTCGTGCGAGCAACGCCTATGAGCAGTTGCGTAACTTAGCTGATCAATAATGTTGGCAGTAAAAATCTGACACCGCCGATGACGTAATTTTCGCTGTTTCTCTCTGCTTCCGCCCCATCCTGCTCTCGGCCCATGCTGCGGAGCGGAGCTACGGCGAAATTTTACTCAACGGTTACGTCACTTTGACTTAAACAAATCTGAATAAAAATGTCCCTGCGTAACGTTTAATTTTAATAATTTCGCACTGATCTTATTCATTCGAATGAAAAAATAGCATAATTTTAAGCCTTAATATATTATACTGTTTCTTTTTGTTTTCCTTTTTTTAGGCATTTTTAGGGATTCTCTAGGCAGCTACGACAATGTGTTCAGTATGTTGAGTGGAATCAACCTGTTCATGTGTGCCATTTTTATTGCCGTCGTGTGCTTCGAACGATCTCGCATTGGTGTCTGGACTCTTCGCACCAAATCGTAAGATGCAACGTCGAAAACGGTCGTAGGACCAAAGGCGCCGGTCGACATGGCAGGGTCTCACGTTAAATAAATATGATCCTTCCATTCAAAATGTGGTTGGCTGAAGTGCTTTACTGTACAAAAAACACACCAGGTGTTTGCGACCGAAAACAAAGTAGTTGACTCCCAGAGGATTATGAAGGAAACACGGAGAAATGTGACGCTGGAAAAGTGCCCGGACCGCCAACCAGGTAGCTATGAACACTGCTCTTTGCATACGTCATTACGAGAAACCCAAAAGTCCACTGGTGACCGAGATTTCTGGCAACTGGGTTCTCGAGTGGTTCCGTGTTATTGAGCTAGTTGAGGAAGTTTCCAATGTGAGTGCTTTTGGTGACATTTTATATGTCTATTAAATGCATAAAAATGTCGAGACATATCATTTATTTTTTTAGAATACTGGAACTGGTCTAGCCAGGGACAATTTAAATATCCATGTTTATCCTCTCAATTCAAAAGCTGAGAATAAAAAAAAATTCCTCTGTTGTGTTCTTTTCCTAGACCTCAATGAACTGGAGAACTAAAAACTGTAGAATAATGGCATTCGGATTTCGTCTGTGTGTCGTCTGCTTTCTTTCGCTGGTCGGCTGCACCTTCGGAAGCTGCTCCCGACGCCATCAATCAATACGAACGCCAAACACGACCCGCTACTGAACCCCTGTCGTCTGCGTCACTGCCCGCCATAGACCCTGGCAAGTTTCTTGGCCTTATTTTTTACAGAAAGAAAACTACGGTTTGTAATTTTACAAGAAAAAACCGACCTGTGAAATTTACCTTTGACGAAAAGTTTTGATTGATACGCGCAGGTGTCGATTGTTACGGTCATTTTAGATGGAGCCTGGTGACTTGGACCACCCTATATTAACCTCCTCAGTCCCTGTGACCCCAATCGGGGACAGTGGTTTAAGCGTGTGCAGTTGGTCACCCAATGGGTCTCTCCCCTTCAAATTCAAATTTCCCGCCTCTGCAAGCACTACTTTATGCACGCTCCGTGAGATGGCGCTACCGGTCCAGCAGAAGCGCTGCACAGCGCGTTCCAAGATGGCATCTTCCATGGAATCCGCACGCCGTCGTCCTCGTGGTGAGTAATTTTTTTGTTCTCAAGCAATATGCACTAGAACGTTACTTTCAGGGTGTCGCAGTCCTTTTGAAAGGTCAGAACACTGCCTGAGAAGAGTTTAGTGTCACAGTTGCGTTGTTATTTGCTGTTAAGCGTTGTTTAGATCTGATGTCCCCAATCGGGTACTGTGGGTCCTAAGTACCACCTGATTGCTTTCAGCACCGTACCTGACTGACGAAGAAATTCAGGCCCTACTGCAAGAAAGTGACGCTGATCTTACAGACTCAGAGGGCACCGATGCTCTTGCCAATGGTGTGGACGGCCGTGGTGATACAGAACCTGAGAATGATGATAGTGACGACAGCCAGGACGATCAAAGTGACCAAAGGCCACCAGCAATGACTCCGCCAAGGTGGAGGAGCAAAGCGTATGTATCTTTCAGTATTCTACGCGTATATCAAGTAAACTAGAAGATGCTCTGTGCACTGAAACCCACTTCTTATTTTTGAAATCAGATTTTCCGGCATTACCATCAAAGAAGAGGAGGAAATACCAAGCAACCAGGCGCGCCAGGAGCCAGACACACCATTGAAATATTTTCTTAGATACTTTCAAGAGGACTTCTGGGAGGAATTAGCATGCCAGACAAATCTATATTCCGTTCAAGAAAAGGGGGAGAGGTCAATTCAAACGGATTCAAGAGAGTTGAAGATGTTTGTTGGTATCCACATTGCCATGGGTGTACTGAAGCTCCCAAGAGTTCGGCTCTACTGGTCCCAAGTGCTAGGTGTTGATCTAATTGCACAAGCAATGTCAAGAAACAGGTTCTTTGAACTGAGAAGCAACATTCACTTTGTTGACAAGGTGTCGGTAACCACAAAACAAAAGGAAGAAAACAGGCTCTTTCTAGTAGAGCCTATTGTGAACTCGTTCAGAAATGCTTGCTTGGAGCTGCCCCGATCTCGTGAACTATCAATCGATGAGCAGATGATTCCGTTCTCGGGGTGATGTCCCGTGCGGCAGTCTGTGCCTTCCAAGCCAAATCCTGTAAGCCTTAAAAATTTTATAATGGCATCTCCGGATGGCTTGGTTCTGGACTTTTCCATCTATGTTGGCAAGGGCACAGTGTCTGATGATGACATGCGAGAGTTCGGACTTGGGGGAAGCGTCGTCAAGAAGCTTCTCGAAACACTAAGGAGGGACCGAGAGACTTTCGTGTTCACTGACAAGTATTTCACGGGCCTGAAGATAGCTGAGCACCTCATTGAAAAAAAATGTTTTTATGACCGGCACAGTGATGGCCAACCGTACTCGTGGCATTGCAGGGACAATGCCGCCTGACCGGTCAATGCAGCGCGGTGAGTCACACTGTAAAGTGCGAAGTGGCGACAAAGTGTGCATTGTGAAGTGGAAAGACAACAAAGCTGTCTTGGTCTTATCCACTGCATTCGGCACAGAGCCCGAAGGAAGTTGCGAGAGGTGGTCGAAAGCTGAAAAGAAGAAAATAAAAGTGAAGCAACCCGATGCAGTTGCAAGGTACAACAGGTCCATGGGCGGGGTTGATTTAATTGACAGGTTTGTCTCCTACTATCGGATATCTTTGCGAACAAAGAAATGGACTGTCCGCGTCTTTGCCCACTTCTTAGACTTGGCCTGTTGTAACGGCTGGATAGAGTACAAGAGAGACTGTGAACGAGCTGACGTTCCAAAACAGCAGAGACTAGATCTTGCAATTTCACTCATTCAAGCAGAAATACGGGGATCCAAGATAGTGCGAGAGCAGGAAGAGGAGAGCAATGAGGAAGAGACTACACACACTGGGCGGCAGAGGAGCAAAATCATTCCGCTTCCTCCAGATGATGTCAGATATGACATGACAGGACACTTCCCAGAGCACCAAAGGCTTGGATCACATATGAGGTGTAGGTATCCAGGTTGCGCGGGCAAATCAAGGGTGAAATGTCTGAAGTGTGTTGTATTTCTGTGCCTCCAAAACCCCAACTGTTTTGTTGCCTTTCACACGCACTGAGTCCCACAGGACCCAATCGGGGACAGGCTAGTTTCACAACTTCCCTTCTTTGTTTGAAAGAACTATTTTTTCCAGTGATTTTTTGTGCGCTCAAGTGCCAAATAAACAAGCTTGAAGCAAATCGTGGCTTGGCTTGCACCTTAAATTATTTCAAGGTGCAAGCCACGCGCGTTTAAACTGTAACTTCGCTCACTTGACGCACAAAGTACAGGTTCGGTCAAAGTAAAACGGAGCGCCGGAGCGGCGACCGAACTGCATCGCCGTGCAATCTAGCAGCGCCGGCTGGAACTGATAGGCTCCATCTTCACATGCGAACGTGCCTTCTGCGGGAGCCTCCGTTTTCTTCTTCCAACACACATGTTGTCGGTAGCTCGAACGACGTAACGCTCTTCCTAAAAACACCGCTAGGTGCTCAGCACGCACGGAAAGATACTCGCCCCTCTCCGACTTGCCCTCAGCACTATCTCCCCATGTGAGCCGTACACCTAGCGGTGTTTATCGGAATAGCGTTTGGCAGCTCGAGACGCCGTTAATGCGAAGATTAAACAATTAAGACAATGGGCACCGCGAACGGGATGCGCGCATGCGCAGACGGCACCTATCTGTACCAGTCGGCGTTGATAGGTAGAGCGGTGATACAGTTTGGCCACTGCTCCGACGCTCCGTTTTACTTTGAGCGAACCTGTACATCTTTTAATTCACTGCAATCGACCATAATATTAAAAACCTCGCCGCTAGCTCCTTTATATCACGCGTCACCAGCTCTGTCATGCCCTGCAAAAAGACACCTAATATAACCCCAAAATAACAAGTCGATCTGTTTGAACCAGGGCTACCAACCTGAGGGAAATTCCCCAGATTAAGGTAATATTCAGGTCTATATGGGAATGAGGGAAACGTTGCTAGTCTGAGGGAAATTTCGGGAACTGTGTATAACTGGAATTTAAAAGTCAATTATGTTTTTTTTTTTCGAGAAAGAACATCGAATTTCAGTGGCCTTGGTTACATTTGTGATATTCCCTCCATTCGTTTGACGGTTTGTTGTGCGACCATCTGGAAACACTGAGGAGCACTCTTGCTGCTTTTTTGCGGCAACATCAGCAGACCTCACTCTGCATCCTCGAAAAAGAAAGCTTGAGTACAGGAAGAAATACTGCGATATCTGGAGATACATACTTACCATGACTAATAATATTTCGTGAAGTGCCGTGCACTAAATGGTGCTAACTGTGTGTTGTGTTCCGTGAGTTCGAGTTTGAGAACTCAAGCTTGTGTTACACCTTTTGTCTTGGACTTACTTTAACGAAAAGCGTTGAAGAAATTGTTAAACCAGTACCATGTTTCGATGACGTGCATAACATCTAAGGCGAAGATAGGCTTTCATTTATTAGTTTGAGTCTCCCGGTAACACTTCCCCTTGCCAGATTTGCTTTAACCACTGTTTTGGCCCGATAAACTAATTTTTACAAAACGTATACCGCGAGGCGTCAAAGCTAAAAGATACACCTCTCATCGTAAAAATGGAAGTGATGCAGAAAACTACGAATATTCAGCATTATAATTATTTGGGCAGGCGAAGGAAATTTCGGCAGAGATCGGAAGATTTCAGGCAGCCGCCAGGGAAATTCAGACTTTCCGTGATAACAGCCTTGATTTCAACGTACTTTTTAATGTGCTCAAAAATGATTAAACGTTCCTGCGCCTTAGTAAGAGTATATCACCTATATTTTGTTTCAGATTTAGGTCCAGACGCATCCGACGCCTCGAAATGATTGTATTAATCCGACAACTTTAAAAGGCACCGTCACAGCGTTCGTCATGTTTTATCATCACTGAAAAAATTTAAAAAAGGCCCAGTGACTTGCACTTTTTACACTGCTTGATTGGTCACATTAGCGCTTAGCGTCGGCTGCCTTTCGAGTTAAGCTGAAAGGACATAAATAAACTATCGCTCATGCAGCATTTACACCACGCTCGAATGTACTCCAACATTAAATAAAAATTTTTGTCATTTATATGAAGTTCGCATCGTTTATTCTTATTTTTTCATTTTGTTGAGGCTACATTAAGGCAGCATAATCCCGTACGTTATACGACCAGTGGGGCATTGCATAGATGGCTAGTTCACAAACTCCTTTTTCATATTTTTAAATATTTCAAAAACACCCTTCAAATTCACGCCAACGAAAACCACTAATTCTGTAAATTTTAGAAGGAATCGCAGCACGTGAGAATTGCGGCGATCGGCTAAAGTTACCACTCCTGCAAGAGGCGCAAGGCTGGCAACGCGAAAACGGGGGTTATAATTTTATATTTTGTATACATCATGCCAAATCATGAAAACATTCAACGCATACCAAGTAGCATAGTTTCAAAGTGGGGGACGAATCGGCCGTTTTTGCAGATTGTTCCATCTTTTAAAGTTTGGGCATTCGCGCCTCACCAGGGAACGTTTTGAAGAAAACTCAATACCCAACTAAAGGCGGAATATCAAATAAAGAGCGCTTCAGCCCATCCTGGTACTATGGGAAACTCTCCAAAGTGAATCTTATCTAAAAAAAATGATCTTAAAGTGGGGTGGTTCGTTTGCTTTCAGGCATTCGTTCATCTTTATGAAATTTGGGCACCCACGACTCGGAAGGAAATCTTTTCAGGACAGCGTCCTTATCAGCTAAAGAAAGAATACCAAATTTAAAACTCTCGCGAGCATCCTAGTACAAGGGCAAATTTCCAAAAACGAATCCTTTTTGTAATAGCCGCTCTCTAAGTAAGGATGGTTCGGCTGTTCTTAGGCATTCGTTCATCACTTCAAATTGGGGTACTCGCGCCTTGCCAGGCAACGTCTTGAAGACTACCCGGTTCCCACTTAAAGGCGGAATATTAAATGTAGAGCCTTCGAGCCCATCCGTTTACTATGGCAAATACTCAAAAACAAATCCTTTTTAAGAAATCCGTTGACAAATTGGGGATGGTCTGGCAGTTTTTACGCATTCCTTCATCTTTTGAAACTTGGGCACCCACTCCTTTCCAGGGAAGTGTTTGAGGACAACCCAGTTCCCATCTAAAGACAGAATATAAACTTTAGAGCCCTCAAGTCCACCCTGGTATTAAGGCAAGTACTCCCAAGTGAATTCTTTTTGCGAAAACCGGTTCTAATGGGGAAGGGTTCGGCTGATTTTAGTAATTCAATCATGCTTTGAAATTTGGGCACCCGCGCCTCGCCAGGGAACTTTTAGACGACAGCACAGTTTCCAGCTAACGGCAGAATATAAAATGTAAAGCCCTCGAGCCCATCCTGGTACTATAGCAAGATCCTGAAAACGAATGCTTGTTTAGAAAGACCGGTCATGAATTAGGGATGGTTCGGTAGGTTTTACTTTGGAAAAATGGGCAACCGCGCCTCGCCAGGGAACGTTTTGAAGAGAACCCAGTGCCCAGCTAAATATGGACTATTTTTATTTATTTATTTATTTATCTATAAAATTATTTATTTATTTATTTATTTATTTTATCTATAAAATATAGAGCCCTCGAGCCAATTAGTACTTTGGCAAATACACACAAAAAAGGAAAACACAAGCTGGAACACATGGCCTTTTGCTACTTGAGCAGGCCTCGAAGTTTTTTTCTGTCTAGACATTTATCAGAATTGAGAGGCTGGGACAAAAACGTTGTGCTCCAGTCCTGGTCTTGCACAGAGTTTTTTTCGATAGTTGGCCGTCAAAGAATGTAGCGAACTTTTTATAGCATGTTGGAAGCACAACGTGCGGTAATATGAGCTTGCCCAGCAGCATTGAGGCCGGCAAAGAAGACGGAAATTCTTTAATGTTTAAAGAGAGGTTGCAAAAGACTGTCGGATTTCCTATTGCTGCAGTTTGGCGCAGCCAACTTTATAGCTTAGCCTGCCGGAGGTACCAGATGCGACATTTTACCCTTTCGGCTTGCACTATAGGCTGCTGCAGCTCATATTGCCGCTGATTATACCTGCTCAGTTTTAATCCTGCTTAAAGTAGAAACTTAACATAACCTAACATATCCTTAAGAACTGGTAAAGGCAATGAATGTAAGTACAGTGATTTATCGTTAATATGAAAACTCTGCTGTATAGACAATATTTTAGGGGGCGAACTGGGAGAATACATTTTTTTTATATCAGTGACTTATAGTATGAAAAGGGGGGGGGGGGGGGGGGGGGATTCAGCTGTTATCTGTTAACGATACATGACTGTATAAGGAATTGACAATTTAATTTTTATAGAACCACCTCGTTTTGCAAGGGTTTTTTGGTGATTTAATTAGCACATACTCTCAACACTCTACTAATATTGTCACGGTTTATTTCCTGGGTTCTCCAAAGTTCTCCAACGTTCTCGTCCTCGCTCCCTGTCCGGAGCACCTCTTCTTCTTTCCTTTCTTCTTCGCTGTTACACTCGCCCCCTCCGCCCTATGAATCGATAATGATCGAGTTCATGGACCGAGTTGAGGTGCATGGTGTGTGTGTCTCGACGAACGTGGGACGTAGTGCTTAAGGTGGCTACGATGTGCCGTGAATGTTGCATTGGTATGATGGGGACTGCCAGTACAATCACGAACTTGAAATGTCACAGGACCCAGCTGAAGAAGAACCTCACAGGGGCCTCTGTAGCGTGGGAGTAACTTTTCAGCCAGGCCTTTCTTTCGAAGGGGTCGGCGTACCAAAACCCAGTCCCCACAACGTACAGGAGGTAGGGGGAATGATGGAGCAGTGCGTTCTTGAGTGCTTACCTGAGCACGCAACATGGAATCGCGAGCTTTCTTTCGCACGGCTTGGAAGCGGCGTCGAGAGCTACTTGTAGAGTGCTCTGTTCTTAGCTTCCAAACGGCATTGTCACCGGATTCGCAGGGCAGAACTGGTGTCCGTCCGTACACTATTTGGAAAGGGGTAAACTCGGTTGTTGATTGTTCAGCAGTGTTCATTGCAAAGGCTGCGTATGACACCAGTTCGTCCCAGTTGTTATGTTGTTCGTTCACGTAGCTCGCGAGTATGCCACTGATGGTGCGGTTGGCCCGTTCAACAAGACCACTTGTTTGTGGATGGTATGGCGCCGCTTGAGAGTGATGGATACCATGAGTTTCCATTTCTCTCGCAAACCGACGGGAAACGAAAGATGAGGCGCGATCACTCACGATGACGCGAGGTACACCATGCCGAAGAATAACTTGTTGTCGTAAGAATAGCACGATGTGGTCGACCGCGGTGCTTGGAACTGCACGTAACTCTACCCATTTACTTAGGGAATCGATGGCGACAAGAACATACTTGTTACCACTTAGAGTAGGGGGGAACGGGCCGAGATGGTCGATGCCGAGAATTTCAAAGGGTGCTTTAGGCAGTGGTACAGGCTGGACGCCACAGTGGTACAGGCTGGACGCCATTTTCCGTGACTGACATTTAATGCACGACGCTATGTATTCGGCAACGCGGCCACCAGTAGCGCTCCAAGATCTTCTTTGTAGTTTTGTCTCTTCCTAAATGTCCAGCGGTTAGGTTGTCGTGACACAGGTGGAGCACGGCGGTACGTAACTGCGTGGGCACGAAGGACAACCAACCTTGCGTCCCGCGGTGGCAGAGGAGCCCATCGCAGACACGATAGGCGCGGCGTAGACGTCGTTCCGCTGTATTAGAAGGAGATCTCAGTCGCGACATAATATCTTGAACTTCTGGGTCGGAAGTTTGAGATTCAGCAAGGTTAAACACAGGGGTGCAAAACTGAACCTTTTCTTTGTTCTGTTCTTCAGCTGGGGCTATAGGATTGCGTGAGAGAAAATCGGCGTCCGTGTGATATTTTCCACCTCGATGGCAGATATTCAGCTGATACTCTTGGAGTAGTAGAGCCCAGCGAGCAAGCTTGGGGGTAAGGTCTCGTTTCGACTGTAGCCAAAGTAACGCAGAGTTGTCTGTAATGGCTGTGAAACGATGACCATACAAGTAGGGCCGAAAGTGTTGAATAGCCCAGATGAGAGCTAGGCATTCGAGCTCCGATGAATGGTAGCGTTGTTCGGCATCGGTAAGGCGGCGACTGGCGTAAGCGATTACTCGTTGAGATTTGTCGGGGTGTTCTTGGAGTAATACAGCTCCAAGACCAGTTCCACTGGCGTCGGTGTGAAGAAAAGATGGGAATTCCATGTTAAAATGGGCTAAGATTGGTGCCTGAAGAAGGCTTTCCTTAATGTCGTTGAAGGCACGTTCCTCGTTTATTGTCCACCGCCAATGGTTGTTTTTACGAAGTAGGAGTGTCAGGGGTGTTGCACGACTGGCGAATTGTGGTATAAACCGGCGAAAATAGGATGCAAAGCCGAGAAAGCTCTTGACCTCTGAAAAGCGGCTTGGTCTTGGATACTGTGACACCGCTTCCAGCTTTGCAGGATCGGGTTTGATGCCATTCTTGGTGATAACATGACCGAGATAGAGAACTTCTTCAAAACCAAAAAAGCATTTTTGAGGTTTGATTCGTAACTTCGCTCGTTGTAGCGCGTCAAGAACAAGCTCGAGTCTTCGGTTGTGTTCTTCAAACGTCGTCTCATATACAATAATGTCGTCAAGATATACCAGAGCCATAGTCCACTTGAGGTGGCCTAGAACTCTATCATAAGACGTTGGAAGGTAGCTGGCGCGTTGCAAAGGCCGAATGGTAATCGCGTAAATTGGTAAAGCCCGCCAGGAGTTATTGACGCCGATTTTTCGGCATCGTCGGGGTTCAGAGGTACTTGCCAATATCCTGACAAGAGGTCAAGTGTTGTGAAGAAACTTGCGCCTTGTAGTCTGTCTAGTGAATCATCAAGGCGAGGTCGGGGATATACGTCCTGTTTCGTGATGCTGTTGACCTTCCTGTGATCAACACAAAAACGTACAGTCCCATCTTTCTTGCGTACCAAGACGACCGGTGACGACCATGGGCTGTTGGATGGTGTGACGATTCCTCTATT